ATACTTCATCATTCATTGTTACTCCCCCGTCCCATTAAAATAGTCACATCTTTCATTTTCGGTCCGTTCCAGTACTAAAATAATCTCATACTAATTTTTGTGAAATTAATTTGTGTGGTTCTAAAACATTCTTACTTTATCAATTTATTACTAACCACAAAAATTCATTTTTATTTTAATAACTCCGCCACCTTTTCATGTCTCAATGTTAGTGAGATAGAGGTAATACATATGATTGAGTTATTAAATAATGTTTCATTAATTGATGATAACAAATTTTTACTTCTTTTGGCTCCAAATGGATTTCTATTTAGATTTCCACCATATTGTCTTTATATATAAAGATAAAGATATGTAGTGGGGGTGAGTTCAAATAAAGTGTAGTCTTCTCACGAAAAGTAAGAACAATCTTGACTTTTAATCACTTGAAAATGGATATATTGGATGAAATTTAATTGCGAGACGCGGTCAAAAAATGTGCAAATGATGATACTACAAAGTGGATACTTAATGATTAAAAATGCACTTTTGTGTTCTACATGTGCACTTTTTCGCTATTTTGATACATTTTCACTAAAAAAATTCATAATTACAAAAATGTCACCGCGTTTCCAACTTAAAATATTCCCATCCATCTATTTTTTCACATCAATGACCAAGATTAGTTCTTATTTTTCACCTAAGAAGTCCCTACTTTTTATTTGAACCAAACTCTATGTAGTATATATATATATATATATATATATATATATATATATATATATATATATCTAGATGGAGAAAGAGTTTTATCATAATGTAAAAAGCGTTCTTAGAAGAAAAGTAACAATGGATTACAACCAGCTTCATTTTGTTTGTTTTTTCTCTTATTAAAGGTTAAATAAGAGATTTATTAACTAAAAGCCGGTCATTTTACACAAATAATATCAAAAAATAAACTATATTTCATAGGACTAATTATGTGTGTCTTGGACATATATACCCTTGTAGCTATTGAAATGTTTTAATTCATAATATAATAATAAAAAAATTAAAAAAAATCATAAAAAAAATTAAAAAATTAATAAAATATTTAAATAATAACTATTTAAAATTTTAAAATTAAAAATTAAAAGTAAAAAAATTGAAAATCGAAAAAAACAAATTGCCGCCTCCTCTGCTACCCCAGCACCACCACCTCCGGTCACCGGGGAAAAGAATGGCACATGCATTAGGAATGCCATATTTATGGTAGATTCAATGAAAATTTTGCCATTCTCAAAGAGTAATATGTAATTTTTTGTCATTTTCGGGAGAAAATGGCATTTTTTAAGAAAAAATGTCATTTTTTTACACCGACCGGAGGTGGTGGTGCAAGGAGGTAGTACAAGCGGTGGGAAATACATCCATATTTTTTATGAATTTTTACTATTTTTTATTAATGTATTATTTTTGAAAAAAAAATTATAAATATTTTTATTAAATTTTTAAAATTCTTTCTATGATTTTTATAATTATTTACAAATTTATTATGAATTAAAACATTCAATTATGACTTTTGACTACGTTTTACACATATTTAAAGGAGGGGTAAAAATGGAATGAAAAAATATGTATGTTTCCAATAGAAGTAATGTGGTCCTATTTTGGAATAAAAACTTAAATTGTCCTATTTTTTAATTTTTGCCATATTTTGCTTCTATTTGAGGTAATTTCTATTACTAATTCTATCAGTGCACATCAATTAATTCTTTCTACAGTTGGTGTCTTTAAAAATTACTATCCGTGTCCCATTTTATGTGTTCTACTTTGATTTGACTCTATTATTAATAAAATTGTTGAAAAAGTAAAAGTTGTGATTGAGTTTTAATTAAGTATAATAAAAATGAAATGTTGTAGACCACATATATTTTTCCAAAAAATGTGACACTTATTTTGGAACAACCCAAGTATTACTACATTCGTCCCATTTTATGTGTCCTACTTTGATTTCACACAATTATTAATAAAGTGGTTGAAAAAGTAATACGGAGTATTTGTGTTTGAATTTTGAGTATAAAATGAATGTTGTGGACCATATAAATCTTTGCAAAGAAACATGACATTTATTTTGAGACAATTTAAAAAGAAGAATAGCACATGTAAAATGAGAGGAATATATAGAGTATTTTTTTAACACATTATGCATGCTTGTTCTTTCTAAAGGTAGATAAACTCCTACCATTCCATTTTCAAACGAAAAAATGGTATGCAACAAGCAAATCAATTGCAGGTGCACTTCATACGAACGAAAAATAATAAATCCAATACATAGACGAAATGTAATTATTGTTTGATTATAGCGAATGTGTCCAACATGATTGTTATAATGAAGTAAAGTGTTTTTGACAAGTGCAATATACTCAATATTGCACCAACCTTATGAAGCACTTTTGAAAGAATTAACGTCATTATGCACATTTAAGTATACAAATTGCTACATGAGTATGCACGAGTTCATCATATTCCATGAAAAATACGTGTAAAACCGGACAAATGATATGCATAAATCCTAAAGAATTTGCTTGCCTTTAGAGTGCATTACATTTATAGATATACTTCCTTGTGTATCGTTTTTTAACTATGCGAGGAACATTAGACATACATGATCATTTGTATATTATTTATACTATAGTGCCTAAATTCACTTTCAATATACTTCATCTCTTTGTAATTTCATGTGCAACATGCATGCAATTGACAATATTATTAATCCGTAAAACTGCAGTGCATTTCTCTTTGAAAAGCAATTCTAAATTAAATATATCTAGTGCATTTTTACATTCGATTGGATACAAAATTTTGTGTGGAGTTGGAAGAAGATCCAATAGCGCCAGAAAATTCTAGAGCAAATTCTTTCGTCGCCATTTTACATAATGCTTCTCATGGTGTTTCGAATCGTTAGTTTCTTTTTCTTTTTCTTTTTTTTGGTAAACAATCGTTAGTTTCTTTAATTTCTTATCTTATTGTCATTCACTTGAAGGTTTTTGTTAGTTTTTTGACAAAATCTTGTAATAATAAAAATACAAGATGCTATTTTGTATGGCTCAATTTAAGTATGGCTCAATTTTTATAGTTAGTTTTTTTATTATTGAGCCAAGTACACAAGGTCTAGATATTATTGAGATCTCAAGGAACATGCTAATGCATGGATCAAAATAGAAAGGGGGCTACTAGCTATTAATAGTACTGCTATGCATTACAAGATGACAAATGCATAGTACAGACAAAGACTTAATTATTAGCTACTCCGTAATAAAGTTTTTTAATGTTGAGCAAAATCAAAGGCATTCTTTTTAATGTTCTATTTTCTGTTCAGAGAAACTTAATCGGTGATGTATGCACAAATTAATTCATCTTCTTTAGGCGTGCCACCTATTCGGATGGATTGATTTTAACATTGTAATTGAATTGGCCTTCATTACTTGACACTTGTTAGTTAGTTGCACTTTACCTAATTACCCTCTTAAACACATACACATGTATGGCCAATTGACAATAGTTACAGTGGTGGCAAAAGGCAATTAGCAACCTAGATTAAAACCCATATATAAGCTGCAATATATATTGCGGTGGCAAGAGCAAAAAAACGAACCATTATTTTAGGGGCTATTTTTCTACATTATTAAGATGGGGTTTTTATTTGGATATTAGTAATTTTGAACCAATTACCCAAAAAGTGACCACTTTTAAAAAGGGGCAAAAAAGTTATCAAGAAGGTCATATATGTGCAATTAGAAAACATGATGTAACTGCAAAAATTTTATGTCACTGCGTATTCGTTTTTTTGTAACTACAGCCACCACTCATGTCACTACAACCACCGCACGTGTCACTATAGCCATCGCTCGTGTCACTGTAGCCACCGCCCGTGTCACTATAACCACCGCCCATGTCACTACAACCACCGTCCGTGTCACTGTAGCCACCGTCCGTGTCACTGTAGCCACCACCAGTGTCACTGTAACCACCGCCCCTGTCACTTTCCATCACCAAATCTGCCCAGAAACATCATCCCACCGCCAACATCGCAGCCTTGCACCGCCAGCTCCGCAGCTTCTACTGCCAACCTCCCACAATACCCCCCATCCTCTCCCAACCCCCTTTTCTGCCCCCCAGCCCCGTCCCTTGCACCCCCAGCCCCCTCCCCTGCTCCCCCCACACAGCTTCACACCACAGCCAACCCAGTCCCCTCCTCTGCTACCCCAGCCCCCACTGCTTCTCAACCCCATCCCCAGCCTATCTGCCCCAACGCCGCCCAGAACCGCCAAAACTTGACTTCACCGCCTCCACTCGCCGCAGATCCGAGATGGAGATGAAGAAAGGAGAAGAAAACGAACTGTGGCGAGGAATAGATGGCGACAGAGGATTTAGAGGCGGCCTTCCCTGGTGACCGGCATAGGCGAGGCGGAGATCTGGTCGGCGGAGCGGCGCGGAGATCTGGTCGGCGGAGCGGCGCGGAGATCTGGACGGCAAAGGATAATCCTACCCCAACGATGCCTATTGCCGCCGAAGTCCTGTGCGTAAGTTGAAAGCAACGGAAGTGCTATGTTGAAGGAGTCAGTTTTGTGGGATATTTTAAAATGGTCATAGTTTGGTCTAAGAGAAGTTGAGAAGTTATACGGAGGCCATTATTTCTATTAAGATGGACGTACTTTGAATTCTTGTCTTAAATAAATAGGAAAAATTGACAAGAATAATCTCATCTTGCAATAGTGCTGTTAGAGTAATCTCACTTTTACGCGATCCCAATATAATCCCACATTTACACCTTTTCTCCTTTTGATCTCTGGCCTATTGAAGACCTAATATATCATGTTTTTTGTCCGTACTTTGAAAACCTTACATAAATAATCTCACTTTTTTATTGATCTTTTCAAAACAGTCCCTTGCATTTATCATTTTTCATTTTTCTCACTAGAAATTTTTCCAAATTAAATATTTACAAATCGTATCAAACCAGATCAGACAAAAACATCTCTTAAAAACATCTCTCAGTATAAGTAGACTGGGTAGTTTCCATTCTGTGATATTCATTACGTCTTGTCCTCTGGTCAGTTAGGGCTACAAAATGGAAAGTAATATGTTCACTTTCCAGCCAGGTAACAAGCCATTCATAGTCGGGTCATTGATCGTGTTTCACCTGGTTTCCCTCTTTGCCCCCTTCTGCTTCAGTTGGGGTGCTTTTGGGCTCTGGCTCGGGCTCTACGTCCTCACCGGCCTCGGAATAACCCTCTCTTATCACCGGAATCTGTGTCACAAGAGTTTCAAGCTCCCCAAATGGCTCGAGTATTTCTTTGCTTATTTGGCCGTTCATGCTCTTCAGGTTTTCATTAATTACGATCGATACGGCTCATATGTATTCTATTATATATTATCATTATGATATTCCTATACTTGAAAGTTGAAACTACTTAATTATATACAGTACAAGCTTACATGTGTCCGTTTGGTAATACTAACATTTGTTAGATCGGTTGAATATGTCGAAATTGATGAAATGTTGTTTAAAATGTCTGAATTTACTGAATCTGTGGAATTATGTAAAATTTATATTTATAGTATGGACTTATGGAGTACATTGTATGTTCTACTAAAATGTTTTTAAAAAACCATGTTGAATCAGTAGTATGTGATAAATAGCGTATTTTGATTTTTATAGTACGACAAAGTAACTTCAATTTTACATATTTTTATTATTACAAGATTTAGCGCATAGAAAAAAATTACGTGTGTGAAAAAAGTTGATTGATAAAATTGATAAATTGGAAATATGGATGACTAAATGGATGGGTTCTATATATATCACCCATACAAAGTCTATATGATCGAAAGATAACTGTTTTGTCTATTCGTTAAAAGTATTTATGTACTTACGGAGTATTTTATACTACGTATTCATTACTCATGATCGATAAACTCTTTAGATTTGTTTTAGGATGCTTTTAATTGGAAAAGAAATTTTGTGGTCCTGTCTAGTCTAATCTATTTATAAGTCTTGCTTGATTTGGACTAATTTGTTTAGTATTTTTACTTTTGTCAATGCACAACATTGACAATAAATATATTTCATTCTCTCTCAGTAATAAATTTAAAAAAATATAGATTTTTAAAATTTATAAAGAGAGGAATTTAAAATTTTCTAAAACTAATGTCTTATACGGAGTACATTAATAAGTAAAATGTAGTCAAAGTAGAACATTCAAATAAAGTGAAATTTTAGCATATTACAACTGTAAAATTGTAGCCAACATGTTTTTACTATTTTGGAAGAGTAGTATGGTTATAGTTTGTTTAAGTGAGATCTGTTCTGCGGTTCTGGTATGCATTTGGGATTCATCCTGTTACAAACATCATTAGTCTAAGGGTGTTTTTAGTTCTATTGTACTGGAATTTGTGGTCTACTCTGATATAGTAAATATCTGTTTCTACGTATTTTATAATTGTGCAAGTTTGGTCTGATTTGATCTGATCTAAGGTGAGCCTGAAAAAGTTCAACTACAAACATCATAAAGTCAGATCACTAACTACATCAAATCGGATTAGAGAAAAATTAATTAAACTAGACAACTAGACAAGACAAGATTTATTAAACCTGAATCCAATAGACAAATCCAAAACTAGATCAAACCAAACAAAACGTAAATTGTGTTGCGTAGTACAATACGCATAAAATCGATCTATATAGATATGTATGTCCATATTAGATGAGATTTCAAACTAATCGGTTCTAATTAGAGAAGTCCATATCTGAGTATAAAATTTTATTGGTGACAACTCCGGTACCCATTCAAAAAATGGGGTACCGTACGTACTATGCATTTGATTGGTCGAAATCATTATATATTCCTTTTAATTTAGATTTAAATAATCCAACTGCATCATTCTTATTGGTCCATGTGGACAAAGGTATGGTACCTTAAGGGTACCATAGAATCTACCAATTTTATTTTGATTAGATAATCCGGCCTTTACTAGTTTACCCTTTTCAATATTTGCTAATCCGTATTTTATTTGGCTTTGTATGTACATTTTTCAATCAAGTGAAAAATAGCACGTGTGTTCTGATTAATAGGACTATCTTTGTAAACTAGAAAAACCCGACCAAATGTAAATAGAGAAAACCTGGAAAAATCAGAAGACAAAATAGTCTAAATAAACATATCTTTATTTTATTTCTAAAATTGCGTAGTGTATGTGCATATATCCAACCTATTAGCTATGTTCATATAGTAAGAGGAGCATAACAAATCGTTATTTACTTATTATTAGTATGACTACAGACTACTCCTACTAAGAGTATCTTTAATGGTAAATTACACGTACCGTACAACCGGCTGTACGGTGAGCACCGTATAACCGGGTATTTTTGTAATTAAATCTGCTTCACTTGCTCGCTGCAACTCCATCGACTAAGGAATACGACCAAAACCGGCGTACTGTGCTTGTCTCTTCCAGATTCTGGCGTACTACGCGTATCTCCCTCCTTTGTGAGCAGTCACACGTGAATAAACCTCAAGCAATCTAATCTTTCCACTTCTATGAATCTATAGTAATCATAGTATAAATCCTATTAATAAAATAGAAGCACATTAAAATAGAAGCACATTAAAAATGAGTTTTATGTTAAACTCAAATGAGTATAACGTCCAAAATGAATGAGCACACTCAAATGAGTTTTTGAATTTTTTTATATTCATTTTGTAAATTATGTATGTTCATTTGGTACTGTTTAACATGCTCATTTTAAAAGGGTACACATTTCAAACATATCATACTACATTACGCTCAAATTAGAAATGAGTTTTGTTTTAGACTCAAATGAGTATAAAGCCAAAATGAATGAGCACATACAACTGAAGTTCTTGAATTTTTTATACTCATTTTGTAAGTTATGTATGCTCATTTGGTACTGCTTTATGCTCATTTTAAAAGGTTGCACATTTTCAACATATCATACTACATTAGATTCACATATTGAGATAAACTGAAATTGATTATAGACATAATTTAAGACTTTTTAATAGACGAACACATAAAAAACATAAAGTGATATGTAAGGTATGAAGCAGAGATCACATTGTAAGGTATGCTCATTTGGTACTGCTTTATGCTCATTTTAATTTAAAATGATGAACATATCAAATATAACGCCCAAAATCAATGAGCATACACAAATGGAGTTTTGAATTTTTTTTTTATGCTCATTTTGTAAATTATGTATGCTCATTTGGTATTGTTTTATGCTCATTTAAAAATGTTTCATATTTCAAACGCATCATACTCATTGTTAGACCCCTAATACTCAAAAGGATAGACTCGATGCTCATCACAATCACATAATGAAAATCACCGGCGCTTATAATTTCAAGTTGATGCTCAATGAAAATATCTTGATGTTCAATTAAAAGTACTTATGATTTTCATATCAATTCTCATTTTATATGTTATTATGCTCAACGGGTATTCATGTTATGTTCATTTGTAAAATGACATAATAATGCATATTTCAAAATTATCATATTGCATTAAATTCGCATACTGAAGTTCACAAGAGTTGATTATAGATATAATTAATAAGTTTTCATAAAAAAAAAATAAGGAAAAGAAAGTAAATTCGAAGAGATGAAGGAGAGATCACGATGCTCATTGTTATGCTTCTAATGCTCAACAAAATATGTCTGATGCTCACTAGACGTGTTTTAATGCTCATTTAGTACAAGACGCGAATTTCATGTAAATTACAAAAATGTCACCGGCTGTACGGTTCTCACTGTACAGCCGGCTGTACAATATACGCTTCCATCTTCAGTGGTTAATTTTTTGACTTTCTTACGACTTTAAGTAAATAGCCAACCATTGAAGTATAGTTTTCCATTTATGTAAGAAAGATAATTAGTCAAAAGGAGCTATTGGCTTGAATAAAGAAAATTATTAAATATATTATCCCAATAATAGTAAATGAAGAGTCATAAATTGTAGCTAAACATTAGATTACATTTTACTTTGAAAATAATTTTGCTACAAATGCATATATATGCATGGCAAGTCAAACCATAAGGACAATTAATAACCGTTAGAGATGCTCTAAGTCAGTTAATTAGTTGTCCTACTTAAGTATAAAAGTATGAATCAATAATATAATCTAAAAGGATATGATCTTGATTTTACATTATGTATAGGTCTCTGAGGCGCTTTCTGATCTCTTTAGAATGAAATTTCAAATCTCAAAGTGAGTCTTAGCACTTTTAGCTCCAATATTGAAACCCTAAGCACATCATTACAATTGACATGCTTAAATTGCTTTAGACCGTTCATCACATTGCAAAACATGTTGGCATGCTGCATGTTGGCATGCTACATGAATAAATATTTATATTTGAGAAATATAAACATATAAATTGAAGTACCTTCTCCATATCTTATTACTTATTACTCCATATTATTAGTCACTTTTAATTTGGTTCAAATTTTCATATATAGGGGGACCCAATCGGCTGGGTGAGTAACCATAGATATCATCACCGGTACACCGATACTAGTAAAGATCCTCACAGTCCCATTCAAGGATTTTGGTACAGTCACATGGGATGGCTTTACGACTCCAAATCAGCAAAAGAAAGGGTAGTGTGTGTATGTGTGTGAGAGAGAGAGAGTAATGATCCTGTTAGGTAGTCCTGACGGGAAGCCACGTCCGAACTTGTCTATTTGAGGTGTTTTCAGGTTAAAATTCAATGAGGAAGGCAGTTAAATAAATTATTGAAAAAATTGTGCCAAAATGTATATAAAAAACGCAATATGTTTTAATAATTTATTTAATTGATTTTATGATTGAATTTTAAGCTCAAATTTTGTGGACATAATCTACACTTCATAATGAACATTATTCTAATAACATTTCATAAAATAATTCCACCGGGAAGCAACTCAAATAGACAAGTTCAGACGGGACTCCCGTGTGAACTACCTGAGGTGATATTTTTCCTACACACACGTGTGTGAGATATTAACCATCATATCATCAAATTCTCAATTAATTAAAGTTAGCAATACACAATAAATTTATGTGTTGTTTGGTGTGTGGGCACTTGCAGAGTGCAATGCCAACAAATGTGGCGGATTTGGAAAATCAGTTCTTCTATAGATTCATTCAGAAAACCTACAATATCCATCCTATTATACTTGGATCAGTTTTGTTTGTCTTCGGCGGATTTCCTTACATAGTTTGGGGCCTGGTATGCATGAATTCATTATGATTTTATCAGATTCCATCATTATTACTTACTTTGATATATTTATCGAGAGAGAAATATAAGCTTTGGATTTCAAATTTCTAAATCAATTTTACTTCGTAATTTATAGGCTCTAAGAGTTGTGTTATTCAACCACGCAACCTTTTTTGTAAATTCTGCGTGTCACTTGTGGGGAAATCAAGCATGGAACACTGGAGATCTATCTCGAAATAATTGGTGAGTTTTTGCATGAATTTAATTTTTTGAAAGTTCATATTAATGGTTCCACCTCGGTGTGTTTTCAAACTTTAATTTATTAACTCACCCAACGAAGTTATTAACAAACTTACAAATATGATTTAGGAACTACTATGTATAACATAAGGCAAGTCCTCATATACATTTTCCTTTTTATGATATGAATATGAATGATCTTAATATGGTGTAAGTAAATAATCATTCTGTCTTTTAAACTCCTAATTATTATACTTGTGAGTATATGAAAATGTTTTGACCACCTACTCATGGGCGTCATGGGTGAGCCTCAAAGTTCAAGCATGTAGAGCATTTAAATTTAATCTGTGTGATATATTATAATTCTCCTAACCTGTTAAGTTGAAATCAAGATTTAGATTTAACTACAAAATATTCTCTTTTTCTGGGAAGCAAGATTTGTAATCCCCCCATCCCATAATGTAAGATACATGTGAATTTGACACGAATTTTAAGAAAATAAAAGATAATGTGGTTGGTTTAAAATTCTAACTCCCACAAAGTAAGAAAAAGTAAGATGAATATACAAAAAGTATAAGTGGAATAGTAGATAGTAGGATAAGGTGAGAAAGTAAAAGTTAATGGAGTGTAATTTAGGAAAAGGTTCATATTGTTTGGACAATCCAAAAAGAAAGTACATATATCTCACAAAATGGAATGGATGAGGTATTATTTAACTATATCTCCAATTTTGGAGAAAATGTATTATTCACTCGTTGTGTGCAAGAATTTTACAATACACAGAGTAGAAGATATAACCAATGACTTTCATAGTTTCATTAATTTGAACTAATCATCTCAAATATTGTTGCGAAGTAATCACAGGTGAAGAAATCATCTTAAATATTGTTGCGAACGATCATTTGATATTGAACATGCATGACTGAATTTTGACTTGCTAAAATGTATTCTATGTCTGCCACTATATACAGTTCTAACTAGTCGTACTTGAGCATGAGTGTTTTATTAATTTGTGTAGAGTAAATAATTAATTGATTGATAGGTGGGTGGCGTTGATTGCATTTGGAGAAGGTTGGCATAACAATCATCATGCCTTTGAGTATTCGGCTCGACACGGTCTACAATGGTGGCAACTTGACATAACTTGGTGCCTGATTTGGACACTCCAAAAACTTGGGTTTGCAACAAATGTGAAACTGCCTTCAGATGCTCAGAAGAAAAGGATGGCATTGATCCCCAACAACGACATCTCCAAACCATGACAAATGTGAAATATTTCATGCATATAAGCATATTTTGTATTGGTTCTATGCTTATATGTAACACCCCAATGACATGTTAAAATTATCCAAACTTCTATTCAATAATTTAAATAAAAGATACTATTTTATCTTAGTGTAATATGTTAGAAAGAATGGTCATTTTACTTATTAGTAAATGAATTTTTACTTATGAGATAAAATGCTAGATGGAAAGCAATTCTTAGTATTTTCGATTTTGATATTGAATCTATTAAAGTGATCAAAACTCAATTCCATAATAAAAGAGGATGGAACTGAGCGATACTAAGAAAAATCATGGGGAAAGAAGTCCAGCAGGATCACACGCAAAGCCCAAAATAATTTCCTCAGCAAAACCCATCATTTCCCGGACACAAGCAGTCGAAGAAGATGATGACGATATCCAAACCTACCCTCAAGACTCAAACAGGAATGGCTCAACAAACAAGATCCACGTTACTAGAACATCCGGTCTTTAGAAGCTTCAATTGCCAAAGAAAAGGTTCGTCTTCATAAACTGGATGAACCAAAGAAGTTACAAATGGAACTATCATTTTTTCAACCAGATAGCCAAAAAAAAACCATGGGATTTATCAAAACCCCGGCCAAATTATAAAGCAATTTTGGAATTGACGGATTCCATCATCTTCACTGATTACGCAAAACAGGTCAAGCGCAATACTCAACGGCAAAGATACACAAAATCATCCCACCTGCCGAATGGGGAACTTCACTTTATACACCTAAATAGTTTCCCTTAGACTTCAAAACTACTACCAACCACTGCAAAACCTGTACAGACCGGAACTATCAACAAGTCTGGTATAATGCCTTTCTCATCCAAAACCAAAATTTTAGCCACACTTGGCTATCTTACTTTAATCTCCACATAGAACCTACAAAAATAAAGTTTTGGTTTGCACACTGGTGGAAACCCTATGGTTCTATTCCATAAGTGTTAAAAACGAAAGTTCAAGATAGCTTCCAACTTTACAAAGCCCATTTCAAGCTTAATGAAAGAGAGCGTAAATTTCACGCCCTTATGCTCTTTCCATCATTTTTTTTCCTTCCATAGATCTGATGGAGTATATGGCCCAGAGACCCCGGCGCACATACTCTTACTTCTCCTGAACAGGCCCAATAAGCCCAAGGGGCACAGGAAGCCCAGACATGGCGACCCAAGCGTAGAGGAGCCCAGGATACACGCAGAGAAGCCTTCGACACTATGGCCGAAGGCACCAAACTTCGTGAAATACCCACTTTGGGACCAACTTAGATGTTGGGATATTCTGGCTAAAACAGAAGTCGTCGCCTACATGATGCCTTCGGCATATGCACCTGGGGTGCCTTCGGCACGTATGCCTAGCCCTCGGCCCCTATGGCCGAAGGTTCTACGATCAGCAAAGATTCCCTCTGAAGACAAGCAACCACCGTATTTAATGCGGTGTCACGTCCAACCACCGCATTTAATGCGGTGCCACATGCAAATGCTGGTGCCACCCGGTTGAAGTGACCCCCCACCGCAAGAACGCTGACACGTGTACGTGTATAGCATATATGGTTTTTCCACTGTAAAGACATCGAGCTCATTTATAACAATTTGACTCTCTCTCTTACTTGTTTGCTCCGACTTCTCTCTACAAATCCTTGTCTAGAACTTTGAATTCGAGCACAAAGACTCCAACACAGTTCTCATTCGTCGTTTCAAAGTGAGGTGGTGGACCGCATTCTCAACTCTCCTATCATCAAAACTGAAGCAGTACAAACATGGTTCCAATCATGTTATTTCAAACCGCTAATAAAAGTGGTTAGTTAAAAAAAGCTAACAGAATCCGCTAATATCAATCTTCCGATTCAATCGGCTATGAGCTAACAGACAACTACTATATCAAACACGGTCAATGACATTTTTATACCTCCACTTTTGATTACAAAAACAAAGTAAAAAGACTTCAAATATCAAATGTTAAGACTATATAGAAGGAGTGACCCAAAGCCTTATATAGTGTTTTATTGTTTTATAGCTTTCCGGTGTGGGACAAATGCTTTAACACGCCGCCTCATATCGGGGTGTATAAACGAGTCAAACAAACCCTTAACTAGCTACCATTAATCATGGGTGCTAAACAAACCGTCAAACCACAACCAGAATTGGCTCTGATACCATGTTAAAACCCGCACTTCCATCCTAAAAGGTCAACCCTATAGGAGGAGTGACCCAAAGTCTTATAAAGTGTTTTATAGCTTTTTGATGTAAAACAAATACTTTAACATTAATTTTACAATACTTACAATGTGAAATGTCGGAAATTATAAAGTGATGGGAAGAAATTTTTTTACTCACAAAAAATTACTTCGTATCAATTTGTCTCAAGTGGTTCTCTTTTACCCTGATTCTTTTTCTTTTCAATTTTGTAATTTGGCCGTGCAATCTATGCGAGGTGTGTACATGACGGACTAATTAGTTCATACCGTGCATAGAAATTAGTCTTTTAGGGTGTTTGGATCTGATTCTTAAAATTGCTCCTGCTTCTTCAGGGAGCAGAAGCAGAAGTTGGAGTGTTTGAGTAAAAGAGCAGAAATGATTCTGATGCTCTAATTTACTCCTAGAATCAGTTTTATGAGAAGTTGAGGAGACCAGCTTCTAAAAACTGATTCAATTCTGTTTAACTGATTCAATTCTGTTTTAAAAAAGGAGAACCACTTCCAAACACCTAAAACGCTCGTGCTCCGCGCGCCATGTAAATGGCTCAGCGCACCATTTTTTTGGCCAACCTGGTCAATTATGTCCTTCAGCCAAGTAATCTCACGATTCTAATGGTACTAGATTACTAGGCGCACCTCCTAGCCTAAGTCAAACACACAGCCGTTTTTTTGACCTTGTTGCTTCCAAAAACACAATCCGATTTTTTTTTTTAAAAAAAAGGTTTTTATATTTCCAAAAGTTTGTGTTACATGTTTCCAAATGCACTTAAATTCCTTATACAATCACAATTACACTTTCTAATTACCATCAAACAACTACTATATAAATATTTGAAACTCATTACTAATGCTTTTATAATTTTTTTTACAATCTTCTTATACAATGGAAGATGAATCTGAGAATTATCTAAAAAAAAGTACTCTTGATTTTCACACTTATGAGATATTCATCTGTCTCACTATCTGTATCTCCATTCTTCTTTGTGATGTGATTCATTAAGTTTGTCGTATACAATATTCGTTAATATTTTGATGGTCATATATACACTTTTCATTCATCTTTATATTGAATAAAAATTGTTTTTGTTCTATTATCATATCACTATGATTGACAGTATCTAGAAGAAAAAAAATTAATCGAGATGTTTAATTGTGATGTTTTTTATTCCGAATCAAGAGCCCGTTTGGTAGCACAAAAATCGACTGATTTGGCTGGTTCTGCTGAAATTTATGAAGTTCAGGCTGCATTGGCTAATTCTGATGATTTAAGAAAAAAAATTAAAATATATTTTATTAATAAAATAAAGAAAAAATTATATGTAAAAATAGCTAAAATGGTCACCTACACTAACTTTAGCCAATACAGCCAGAAAAGTAACTTCAGCCTTACTTTTTGTGTTTATTGCACAATTCAACGGGCGAAAGTAAAAGTTACGTGTTTGGCGAAAAAGCTGGCTGATAAGCCCCATAAGCCGAAAAACAGTGGTTTCAAACGACCTCCAAACCAAATCAAATTTCGATAGTTGTATAACACAAATAGAAAAAAAAAACGCGCATAAACATACATCTAATAGGACAGACCAGTTCAGACTAGACTAGACTAGACCAAACTTCCAAGAACAAGTAATATAAAATTATACCAGATTAGACTAGATTAGTAAATTTCAATTCAATTAAAAACATCCTTATTTGTATTATAATAATTAAAATCAATGTCACCCAATAATTATTTTTTGTCAAACTAATAAGTACACTTCAAATTGTATTTTTTTATAAATTAACGGCTCCTACATATAATTTAGAATGTTAGTTTAATATATTTTTTATATATCCAAAATTTTAAATATAAATAAGCATAATTAATTTTTTGATCATTTTCAAACTTGTATAGTGTAACTGATATTTTCAGTTGAACTCATTTCGGTCTCATCTTATCTTATACTATATCGAACTTAGATATTAGTAACACATGTACGAAACTAAAAAATAAAAGTATTGCAAATAAAAAAAGTATTGCAGTTTTTTAAATATGTTTCTATTTGTAAATTTAATGAGTTACGAAGTATAATATTTTGCATTTTTAAGTGAATTTAATAAATTATTAATTTAAGAAATTGGTGAGCATATTTTGTTCAACTATGAAAAATAAGTCAGGTATAAAAAGTCCAAATATAAATGTATTTTGCTTGTAATACATGTATCTCATATTTTTTGCTTTTATAAAAATATGATATATGCATGACAGTGACATGTATGTCAGTCTTACTTTTCATGATGATAGCTCGACTTTTGTCGAAGAAGAAGTGAAGTTTGAACCTCCAATTGTTGAAGAAGCACAACCATTCATTTCACATGAATTTTCAGAAGACTTTCAAACTCATAAAACTTGGGCGGATCGGGAGTCTATGATTGATTGGGCTAGAGTTGAGGCGCTTAAGAGAAACATGGTCTTAACTATTGCAAAATCGAGGCCAAGTAATTCTAAAAAGCTTGGTAATGTCCTTCTCGCATGTGAAAAATTCGGGAAGTATCGAGCTGCAAAAAAAGTCAATACTCCAGGGGTGCAACAAGATAAAGGAAAGAAAGCTACAAGAACAAAAAAAGTGAATTGCCCTTTTGCATTATATGGGAGTGAAGTGGAGCGAAATTTATGGCGATTGCAGGTTAATTGTGGATTTCACAATCATGTTATTCCAACGAGCTTAGTGGGCATGCATTTGCTGGTAAATTGACAAAGCAAGAGATATCTTTGGTGAGAGACTTATCCGAGGCGGGTTGCAAGCCTAAGCCAATTCTCCAAAGTTTAAAAATTGCGAACTCTGAAAATGTTACATCTAGAAAGCAGGTGTACAATGCAAGACGCAAGCTTAAGAAGGAATGGATGGATGGACGCACTGTCATGCAACAATTACTTCATTTGATTTCAAAGTATGATTACTTTGAGGCCAATAGATTAGT